AGGAGTTTAAGTTTGATTTCTCAGTAGACCGCGCGAAACCTCTATTGATTTTCCACATAGAGGAAACGCACCAGTATTGGCCATGTTCCTATTTTGGCCACCATTTGACGATATTTCTCGTTGTTTACAATTTTGAGATGTTCAGATTAAATCGTTTTTCGTCTGGTGATACACCGAGCAATCGGCCTATTTAATAGTTTTTCGTCGATGCTGTTTAATTCTGTAATTTATAAGTCTTGAAGTAGCTTTTTATTTAGGAACAATACATTACAAAATAGTTCTATGCATTTTGTACCAGATTAATCCATTCTTGCAAGAAATGTGCAGGAAATTACATTGAAATTAAACAATTTTGCAAACAAACCATGAAATTTTTAAGGGCTGTCACAGACTTATAATAAGTGTTTGTTTGCGTGGGTGAGTTAGCAGTTAAAACAAATCGTCGATTGAAGTGATTGTTTGCGAAAGCCGATACGTTGATTTGAAAAGTTACGCTTGTTATCACCGTCGGTTAGTGCTTATTCCTGCCACCAGGCGCACATGAGTTTAAGTTAGATTTTTTCTCGATTGGCGTTGACGGCGACTCTGTAGTTCTTTACTCCTATGTGAAAATTCATAAGCAAACGTCAGACTGTGCGTGAAACATGGCGGACTTCGTACCATGCTTTCACTCCACCGAAAATTCCCATAAGGAACTGTCTAGATTTGCTGGAAGAGAAATTTTTCGACGATGCCGTCAACGCCAATTGACAGATTCTCTTCGTCGACTTTCTTTTTGCATCCTCCCAGCTATTTTCAGTACACAGATCGTTGAATGAAGCTATTATGTAGCTTCTAATACGACAAACACAACTAGGAACGGTTATATACCCAAGTTATCAACGAAAGAGAAAGTTGATGAAGAGAATCGTTCAATGTTACTTAGGACCTAATGCATTGTTCAGCTTGAATTGGGTTCTTTAATGTTGGTAAGCTCCGACCTGTATTATCCTCGGATTAAATGCCGATTAAGAATTTCCGGCTGCTTTGATGTCAAAAATTACAGTTTATCAACACGACTCTAAGCAGATAGAGATAGAGATAGAGATTAAAGAGTAAGAAGCCACTTGTCTCCTCTTCCTCTTAGGAGCTTACCGCTATAATTTTCATTGCACACAGCGTAAATATTTACGATTTTTTGACAAAACTCAGGAAATCATGACAGATCCTGACGCGATGTGCGGTATAAGAGGTGAGGAGAAAGGAAACTAGTGGACTCTTTCGTTCTCGCGTCTTCTTACGCAGCAACAGACGTGACGTCACGTCTGCTGTTGCATAAGAACACCGTCAGAATGAAAGTTAGAAAGTTAGAATGAATAGTTTCCTTTCTCCTCACCTCTTATACCGCACATCGATCCTGACGCAGTAGGTCTCTTTTTCTCATGCGCGTTGTTTTCAAAGATCAAAATGTCATGATTACCTGAGATTTGTCAATCATGTAAATATTTACACGTCGTGTATTGAAGAATTGCGGTAAGCTTCAACTCGTATTAACTTTTAATACCGACCCTGTTTGGATGATCTGCAAAATGTTTCCCTTAAGTCGTGTTGAATAACTATGATGTTGACATCAATGCAGCAAGACACTATTAAACGCTGGCCAGACTGAACAGTAGCCTATTGGTCCCAAGAAAATTCTGATGAACAACCACTTTACTTATATGATCACTAAATTTTCAAAAAGAGTTCTTCATGGTAGTTGAGTGTCATGTCACTATGCCCATAACTGTGTAACTAAATAATACAACATACAAACTTATGGACTCATAAGGCTTTAAGTTTGGTGAGGTTAATGTTAATGATACGGACCCTTATTAGATTTAGATAATATTATTTTATTTATTTTTTTTCAATTTTAAATGGATTTAAACAATGTTCGTCTTCACCCAGCTACTCACCGCAAAATAAAATCAATTTTGTATTTTTTTTAGCGGATGGAATTCTTAATGCTTTCTATGGTTTTGGCATATTCCTCAAGCCGGAGTTTCAAATAATAAATAATGGCAAGCCTTCATCGATCAAAAAAATAATAATCTGAAGCCTGATTATATTCAAGAGCAAACAAAATAGAAGACAGCAAAGTATTTTTATTGCCATTTAATTATATAAGAAAACGAACCTCCATCAATATGTTTCAATTCGTTTGGATTTATTTCATTTCACCACGAATATCATAAATTCGCTCTTTCCATATAGCATTATTGCCTGTTTTTTGTCATCCAAACAAAAAGTTGCCCGTAAAAAAAATCCTTTCAAAATACACCGATTTTTATTGTCATTGTAACCATGATATTTACTGTCAAAACATTGGACATTTTTGTCTGCGAAAATTATCGATAGTTGAAAATGGATGTAATAATTATTCGGCAATGTCATCTTTGCGTTATCGCAAGAACTCTTTCATGAAAGCGCTTGAAAATAAATAGTAAAAATACTCTCATTCTAAATCATGTTGGATACGTGCGAGGGGTTCGTCAAATCTAAATCTCAATTCTAGATGCTCGAAAAATCTCACACTAACGAATCAATCTACGAAAAATCGTTTTTAATTTTTCACACTTACTTTTTGCAGGAAATCTTCAGAATCGTCATTAATCTTCCTTCTGTTTACTCAGCGTGCGTGCAGTTAACCACAGCAAACCAAAATCTTTCCTGCATTCGAGTGGTGGACAAACGAAATTTTAAAACGTATCCCAAACCTGAATCATCTGATAGTGAAAATGGTGGTTCATCACCGGAAGTTGCGAAGGCTCCTCAAAAGGGAAAAAGTGTTCCTGGTGCGGGCCGCGCGAAGAAACAAAAGCTGAAAGACGAAGAATTTCAAAACGCATTACCACAGGACGAATCAAAATCCTCTTCAGGACCTTCTGAGACAAACCAGCCAATAAGTGAAAGCTTTGAAACTGAAGAGGGATGGCGAAAGGTAAGTCCAAACCATTAATTTTCAATTACACTAGCTTACAGCATATTTCAACTGTGTACGCTGGCGGTCATTTTCCATGTAAAATCATGTGCTGCATCCAAAAATGTAGTCAGAAAAAATCTCAGTAGGTAGTTTCCTAGATACAGCTGAAAAATGAAGTTTCAAGCAAGCAACAGAAGATTTGACGCTATCTGCGTTGTTTGATGCCCGGTCTAGAAATTTGTGGCATCGCGAGCGATAATTTTAATTTTAGTTAATTTACGCGGTAATGATGTTGGTTCACTCGCAACTATTTTTTTTTTTAAATTAAGTGTTTTCGAACGAAAGTGTACCAAAAGTGCTTCTGAACATGTTTCGTAGTTGGGTGTGGTGAAATTCGTGCATTCCCGGTTGATTTTGGAAATCCGTATCACAAAATTGCCACCGATTCCTTTTTTTTTGCCGTTCGATGACAACGGGTGTGCTTTCACGAGAGTGACGTTTATTTGATCCGTTTCTTTGCACGGGTGTGTTTTTTTGTAACTAGCGTAAGTGTGCCTGCGATTTGCATTGAGTGTCGGAGATTGTAAGTAATCTGAAGGATGCCTCGCTGGATACGCCCAAGACTGAACGGGCAGTAGCTGTGAACGGTTCCTGGGGAAAGCACTAGATGCGACCCTCCTCCCAGATGACCATGGCAATACAGGAAGTATTGGTATTGGAAGGTAATTGCTATTAGATATTTTGCAAACAGTGACAGATAGCGGACATGAAGAACCAGTGAGGTGCCGGGCAAAGGTGTTTATCCTAGACAAATGGTAAGTTACAAATTCTCTGTTGTCATTGTCGTAGGCGCCGTCGTAGTCGTAAGCAGTATCGTTAGTATATTTAAAATTAACCACCAACCGCTGAAAATATGAATTATCGCGTATTTCTGTTGTTCATTACATGCCGAGAACGTAATTTCATTTGAATAGCTTGTTCAACCAGGTCTTAAACAATCGTCACGTCGGTTATAGCTTATTATGATTACCTGAACCATTCGAAAAGAGAAAATCAAACATTTAAATTTAAACCAAATAGACATTAATTCCTCAAAATATCTCAGATGAATATTAGATCTCAATTTGAGACTTGATTTGAAAATGTAATAACAATTTCAATTTGATTCTTCTTTATGAAAATTAAAAATGGCTAAACATGAAACACATCACACTCGTCTAAACAACGAATTCGTGAACCGTGATGGGAAAGTTTCACTAGGCAAATATCGTAAAATATCGTAAAATATCGCGAACTTTTCCAAAACTGCTTCCAAACATTTAACAGAAATCATCAAAACTTAAACTCTTTTACATTGAAAATCGATTGGTGGCCCTGAAAAGGGCCGATTTGTAGTTTCGATGGTATGAATTTATTTGGAGCTGGTGTACTTGGTGACGGCCTTGGTTCCTTCGGAGACGGCGTGCTTGGCCAACTCACCCGGCAGCAGCAGACGGACAGCGGTTTGGATTTCGCGAGAGGTGATCGTCGAGCGTTTGTTGTAGTGAGCCAGACGGGACGACTCAGCAGCGATACGTTCGAAGATGTCATTGACGAAGCTGTTCATGATGCTCATGGCCTTCGACGAGACTCCGGTATCTGGGTGGACCTGCTTCAACACTTTGTAGATGTAGATGGCATAGCTTTCCTTCCTGCGTGGCTTCCTCTTCTTCTTGTCTCCCTTGACGATGGCCTTCTGAGCCTTGCCGGACTTCTTGGCGGCCTTTCCACTGGTTTTTGGTGCCATAGTGAAGCTGTTAACTTGGGTACAGAATAACTAATAATTTTTTTAAGACGATGGTGTTTCTTTTTATACCCGTAGAATGGCAACCGACACTCGTCCCCTTTTATGTATTTTAATCAATACCCGTTTTATGCTACCCTGCTTGTATGTATAATATGCTGCTCGATGTAGGTATAAAAGCAACTTCGACGAGCTAAAACGGCATCAGTACAGTTTGAGCATAAAGCTGCTCGTTTTATTTTCACATCGTAATCTACCCTACTACATCAAAACATGTCTGGCCGAGGCAAAGGTGGAAAAGTTAAGGGAAAGGCAAAGTCCCGCTCGAGCCGCGCTGGATTGCAGTTCCCAGTTGGTCGTATTCACCGTCTTCTGAGGAAGGGCAACTACGCCGAGCGCGTTGGTGCCGGTGCTCCTGTCTACCTGGCTGCCGTGATGGAATATCTGGCCGCTGAAGTTCTCGAGTTGGCAGGAAACGCCGCCCGTGACAACAAGAAGACCAGAATCATCCCACGTCACCTGCAGTTGGCCATCCGCAACGACGAGGAGTTGAACAAACTGCTGTCCGGGGTGACCATCGCCCAGGGTGGTGTCCTGCCAAACATCCAGGCCGTCCTGTTGCCCAAGAAGACCGAAAAGAAGGCTTAAATTTGATCTCAGACCACGCCCAACATGTACAAAACCGTCCTTTTCAGGGCGACCAATTTGATTTCACCAACGAAAGAGTTTGATTTATTGGCATTTTTTAGTTCACATGAAGGCATATTTTCATATTTCAATATTTCATTCCTTTGAGGCTATACAGAAAATGAGAGATGAAAAATGTATTCTTAATCGACCAATGCATATGAATACCAGCCGATTTGTGGCTGCTCTGCAATTTCGTTTCCCCAGCTACCTGGTGAAGATCATCTCGGACTACCTCGACGGCAGGACGTCTCAAGTATACGTAGGCAGTGCTCCCTCGGTACAGTATGATGTACCCGCCGGAGTCCCTCAAGGAAGCATCCTGGGACCCATATTGTACCATCTGTACACATCGGACATACCGACACTGCCGGAAGGTGGAACACTGTCGCTTTTTGCTGCCGATTCGGCAATCAGCTACAAGGGACGAGTAATGCGTACTCTCGTATCGAAGTTCCAAAACGGATTGGATGCCTACACCATATATCTCACCGACTGGAAGATTTGTGTGAACGCGGCCAAAACGCATAGCAACACCGACCGGCTTAAACCGTCATCAAAGATAAAGGTTCTGAACGCTGAAACTGAGTGGTCACCCGAGGTACGCTACCTTGGCCTGATTCTCGACAGTAAGCTCCTCTTCCGGTCGCTCGTGGAAGACCGAGTCAAAAAAGGCACCATCATGCTGAAACGTCTGTATCCGATCATCAACCGTCAATCGAAAGCATCCACCGTCAACAAGCTGGCTGTCTACAGGCAGATTGTTGCGCCTATGCTATAGAATGGGTCTCCGGTATGGAAAGGTTGCGCTAAAACACATTGGAAGAAGCTCCAAGTCTTGCAGAACAAGTTCCTGAAGATGATTCTGAATCTGCCTCCGCGCACACGGACAGCCGACGTTCAAATCTCGATCAAATCGACCAGAGAATGACAACCCCTAGTTGGCACCAAACTAGGACTCTAAATTAAGAGCACGAAAAAGTTAGAAATCTTTACCCATAACTTTGTAAATAGTAGGCTTAGTTAGGATTTAATGTAGTTAGATGGGAAATTTAAAATTTAAAAATTTGAAATACAACAAACGTTCACACTGTAAAACGATAAATACCAATAAGTAAAAATTAGCCAATGGCTTTCAGTAATTTTAGGCAAGAATGAATAACTTATGTTGATCACTTACAATGTAAAACTATGGTAAAAACAAGTGAAAAAAAAATTATGTTAAAAAAAAATCAAATTCAGAGAAACTCTTCTGTCGGCAACATAATCGAGCAGCCGAACAAATAGTATGAAACAGTACATAAAGGCCATTTTTCTTGTTTTTCGGCCAAAAGACGGCTCTTCTGCCAAACATCTTCAAGGTGGTTTATTTAAAGGGACGTTAATAGATGGAAGCACAGTTCTTCTGCCAAAATATAGCAGACTATGGAGACTATACAACTCCAGTATGTATCCATATAAATCAGCGATTTGCTTTAAACGCTGTCCAGACTGGAGAGTTATAACATGTTATAACGGTTGTCAAATAATTGCAACACAGAAACCACCATTAAGATAGCGCTATAACAGTTTATAACTCTGTAGTCTGAACGTACTATTAAGTTATCCGTGCTGTAACCGTCCGGATAATAAGTAAACGCACCTAAAAACTGACCAAAGATAAATGTTCTGTATCCCGTCTTCCTTCGAATAAAATCTTATTCAACAGTGTAATAATGTCCATTTTTCCGTTACTGTGCCCGAGCAAATAAACAGTTGAAGATTCCGGTTTGTTCGTATCCGTGTTCAAAACTGTAATCGTCCGCACCAGACCAGATTCACGGCGCCGGTCCAACAGACGCTTGAATGTGCTTCAACTAGGACTAGGATCGATAGGACTAAGGACTAACTCTTATGCATCGACGCACAAAACGCACGAAATCTTGAAAACAATCAAGCTTGGTCCATTTTGGTTTTCTCTATCGGTAGATAAAAGATGCACGGAGAGTTGATTGGAGTGACTTCCCGCTAAAATGTTCTGTTCGACCCCATTTGCTTATGCTTTTTTCTAGCGTCTTAAAGAAAGTCTTACCGTTATATCTGTTTTTGAGTAAAGCAAACTGATAGTTGTTACTTCCACCAAAAACAACTGTACATACGAAAGCATCAATTTTAGGGACAACAATTTAAATTGCAATAGGAATTTTCCATCTAAACTCTCTTGTGGATTGTGGGTAGTGGCCCTGAAAAGGGCCGGTTTTAAAACGGTGCGATGGAGAAATTTAAGCGCGTTCACCACGGATACGACGAGCCAGCTGGATGTCCTTTGGCATGATCGTGACACGCTTGGCGTGGATGGCGCACAGGTTGGTATCTTCGAACAGACCGACCAGATAGGCCTCACTGGCTTCCTGCAGTGCCATGACGGCCGAGCTCTGGAAGCGCAGGTCGGTCTTGAAGTCCTGAGCGATTTCACGGACCAGGCGCTGGAAAGGCAACTTGCGGATTAGCAGTTCGGTCGATTTCTGGTAACGACGGATCTCACGCAGAGCGACGGTTCCTGGTCGGTAGCGATGAGGCTTCTTCACTCCTCCGGTGGCCGGAGCGCTCTTGCGAGCGGCTTTGGTGGCCAGCTGTTTGCGAGGAGCCTTTCCTCCGGTGGACTTACGTGCGGTCTGCTTGGTACGAGCCATTATGTTTAGTTGCGATGCGCATACGATGAATCGAAGATGTTTAATAAAAATTTTGACCGTCTTCCCCTCGATTTTATACCATAATTTTGTTATGTTCAACCAATCACAAATGATGTAAGAACAAGAGTACAACAACTAACAAGAAGAATCTAACCCTCGAATGGGTATAAAAGAGCCATTCATGGTCAAAATTAAGCATCAATTTCGTTTCAATAGTACCCGAAGACAGTTTCAATCAGCATCAACAATGACCGGACGTGGCAAAGGAGGCAAAGGACTCGGCAAAGGAGGAGCTAAGCGTCATCGTAAGGTGTTGCGTGATAACATCCAGGGTATTACCAAGCCCGCCATCCGTCGTCTGGCACGTCGTGGTGGTGTCAAGCGTATTTCCGGGCTGATCTACGAGGAAACCCGAGGCGTGCTGAAGGTGTTCCTCGAAAACGTGATTCGTGACGCCGTCACCTACACTGAACACGCCAAGCGTAAGACCGTCACGGCCATGGATGTCGTCTATGCTCTGAAGCGACAGGGACGCACTCTGTACGGTTTCGGAGGTTAAATTAGCATTATCAACTCTAGCATCAAAACGGCCCTTTTCAGGGCCACAACATAAATCAGAAAAGTGTTTTTGATGGAAATTTCTTGCAGCATCTTTATGATGATATTTTCAAAAAAGCTTTGGACCGCTTTTTTTTTGGCTTATTATTTTTTCTTTGTCTACATATTTTTCACGGACTGTTTTAGTATGTGGACGTTTTTGTATTTCGGTTGGTGCTTTGACAGTAGTAGTAAACTTACGTTTATTTCTGTTGATTATGATTGTACATTGTAGCCTATCTGACTCTTCATCTTTGTTTCATTGGATATTCTAATTTAATATTTGTGTTTTTCAACTAGTTAACAGAATACCCCTTGGGGGTGCGTTGTGTTGAAATTAAAAAATGTGATAACCTACCTATCTAAAGTGCTAGATCACGTATGATCTTATCTCAGACAGGTGTTTCTGAACCTTTCCAGGATGAATACTCTCCATTCTTCCAATGTCTGAATTCCAGTCAGAAGGTGGATCTCAGAATTTTGAGTCGGCGGGGACTGTTAAGGATCATCCTAAGGCTCTTGTTCTGGATCCTTTGCAGTTTAAGATGATGGTATTTGGAACAACTCTCCCAGGCTGGTATACCATACTCAGTAACAGGTAGAATAAGTTATCTATAGACAGCAAGCTTATTTTTCAGGGATAAGATGGACTTGTTTATTCTTCCTTTGTTTCGCTAGTAGTGGATTGTCAAAACATTGCAATTCAGGCATAAAAAATCAAATCCATAGTGAAAATTTCGACTATTCTAATTTCTAATGACAGTTTTGCATGAATCCGACAAAGTTTGTTCTTGTTATTCAAATATTAAAGTTTTATGAACATGACTATCAGGATCATAATGCAAATTGTTTAAGATTACTTCTGTTGAAAGAAGAAGATGATCATCTACAAAACATGCAAATGCGGCCAAGAATTGCAGGAAACTAACAAAGGCTCAAGAAACGGGTAGAAGCATAGCTACTATATACACTCTGAGCAATTTGCTTCTTGCTACCAAGATATCAACGGAAACTACTTTGAATAAAAATTATCATCCAAATCCTACCTGTAGATACATGCGTTGTCTCTTATGGTAGGTAGAAATATAAAATATAAAATTAACGTGAGCCTATCTGTGAAAATAAACGGTAAAATAGGTAGACAAAAGACAGCACTCATCAAGTGTCTTCGCCATTATCGCATAAAACGGTAACGTCTATTTTAATGAGATTGTTGAAAACTGACAGTGAATATGGCAGAGTGCTTCGTGGTTGACCTGAAAACTGCGAGAAACTCCACGTCTTGCTTGATAATTTGTGTGTATTCAGAAGGAATAACTTGGGAATAGAAGTAAAAGATAGGAATAGAAGTAATAGATAGGATGGATTGAATTTGAAAATTTTATGCGAGAATTGGGTAAAAATTGAATAATCCTAAAGTGTCGTTCTCCCTGGTTGTCATACATGTTATGGGCGATTTAGTGAGGGCGTATTCTTATCGTTCCGGATCTACGGGCGACATTATAAAAATGCCGAGTTTCAAGAGAAAATGAACAATGAAGCTGATAACGACCGACCGGACAATACCACACACGGTGATTGACCCAGGGGATGGATATGGCTGTCATATCGCTCAAGTTTGCTGCGTACCGAACATCTGCAACGTTGTCAGCGGTACCATGATATGTTTTGTTGTTTTGATGTTGAGTACGTGTATTCAGCTATATATCAAACCCCTGGATTGACC